CTATTATTAGTGAATATACAACTCACTGCCCCTCTGACATCATCTTTGTTTTTTTGTCGATAAATTCTGCTCTTCTCTTCTCTTCATTTGACGTGCTGCACGTGATCTTCTGACTATTATTAACGCAGATACGGCTCAGTACCCTTCTGACGTGTTGCGCCATCTTCGTTTCATTTCGTCTCTCATTCATTCAAAGTTTTTCGTTTCGCTCTTTTGTTCTCCCCGGACCTAGGAAAATTTCCTATCTTTTACATTGCATTAATTCACAATATCCCTAGAAAGCTCAAAAAATGAGGCTTAATCGGCATAGTAAACCTACTATAGTTGTTGTGTATAGTTCCCATCATTGATTGCAGATGATCCACAACTCCATTTTCTTGTGGAACGGAATTCGGTGATTCTTCTTAAGCACCCCTTTTTCATAATTGATCGACGTGGTGAATATTTCCCTCGAATGTTTCGAACCTATGAGAAACTGGATCTGAAGATGTCAACCCAAGCTGGACTCCATTTTGAGCTAAAATATATAGTGTCGCCATTTTGAAAAGTACGATTCGACGAAATATTCCTTTAATTTTTTTCTTTCATAATGAAATCAGGGTATACAGTATCAAATTTGGTGTGAAGTTTTCTACTCATCGAAAGTTCAGTAGGACTCACATTCGTTGTTGAATGTAGAGAAATTTGTCGGTGTAATATAAATCTGCATAATTTTGTTTTCATATCATCACAAACTGTTTTTTTGGTTGTTCACACCAACCGTTCCAATTGACCTGATGATGGATGGTACGGTGAAATTTTGAAATTGTGTATCAAATTATTCTGCAGGACGACTTGGAAATGATGTCGAATTGTCCGATACTATCACTTGATGAATACTTTTAATTGCGAATACGTTTCTCAGTATCATTACCGTTGATTGGGTTGATGTGCCATTTGAAATGAGCATCAACAATTATGAGGTTATAATAGTTTTGCAATGGTTCTGCACAATCGATACGTATAGTTGAATCTACGGATTATTTGCCTATTCCATAGGATGCACCAAAATCTTTGTTGAAGTGTGTCTACATTGTTGACAAATAATATATTTTCCACCATTTTTTCGATATTTCAATACAGTCCGTGTTAAGAATCACACGTTAAAAGGTAAGACCTCGTTAATCCTTGGCTCGCACAAGTTTCGACTTTTGTCGTTCGTAGGGGTGCGACAGCTGGTTAAGGGAAAAACAGATTTAAACAGTCCTAGCCACCAAAATTCAATATATAATACCTCTATCCATACAATTTCCAGATGTGCTTCCTATAGTATCTAGAAAACTCATCTTTGAATGTTATTCGGAATTACCACTCTACAACCGCATAATAAGCAGTTTTCATGAAATGACAATTCATCATTTTCGACCAGAATTTCGTCGGAAACTCTATTCCTATTTTCTGGCAATCATTTCATTGTTCTGCGTGGTATAAGTCTGGAAAATAGTTGTTTTGTGGCAGATATTTACCAGAACCTACTGTGTAGGTATGTTGGGTGAAATGAACGTTTCGAAATTTCATTTCGAAATATTTATTTTCTTATAATTGGAAGTTGTTAATATATCACGCAATAACTTTTCGAATTGAACTTTCGAGTTCGTCCTTTATTACACATATTAAATTTGCAGATTTACTGTTGATTTAGCTGCGTTAATTTTTTAAATTATGGAGGGATAAAAACTCAAAAAAACATCATGAATAGAAAGTTTAATTTTAAGAGATAGAGATGATTCTGGAGGGATAAATTATGAAATTTTGGCTCGATTGGACTTGGAACTATTTTTATGATATATGATGAAACTGGTCCATACTTGATGAAAATCCATAAATAACGTATTCAAATAGAACTTCATTGTGAGATTTTCACTTAACAGCTTTACGAAAACGCAACACGTATTTCGCCATACAATGGCGCTCCTAATTCGGGCGTGTCTTTACCAACCAGTAAAGTTGGCCATTGTATGTCGAAACACGTGTTGCTTTTTTGTAGAACTGTTTGGTGAAAATCTTACAATGAAGTGTTTTTTGAATACGTCATTTTTATGGTTTCAAAAACAGCATTTTTATCCATTTCTTTGTATCTGAATTCTATCCATCTATGCATAATATGAATTATCGCGTTGAAGTTCTATATAGATCGCTATGAATACTATTAACTCTACATTTGTGTGCATCTGTTGAAATTGAGAAATCACATACTTATCTGATGAAAATAGAGAAAAACTCTCTTAAGTGAGAATCCTGTGGGATATAATATCAACGAACTCCGACCCACCGCCACTGTTGGCCCATAAATAAAGGAAGCTCATCGGTGCTAACGAAATTCATGCGGGGAAACGGAAATATCACGATAGCCATTTCCGAACGAGCGTAATTACAACTTATACGCCTGCGGTCTGGCGACATCCATAATAAGCAAATACCACAACCCAAACTTACATGGCAACAGCATTTATTTGATGAGGGAAGTTTAGAGGGGAATGTCACAGATCAGATTCAATTTCATGCTATAGTAAGTTATCACACATACACTGACGACTCAGGCCTTAGAAAGGGTCTGATTTGATGGATCAAAAAATTTATGTTGAATTTGAAAATAACACTTAAGGAGTGTTTCAAAGTTTCATAATATTCACCTCAATTGATATGAAGTTAAGGACAAATTCGCTCTACAGTTAGAATCCATGGATTGAATGAATGGTTGAAGCTAATTTCAAAAATGCAGCTAGGTGACAAAGATAGGATGGCTTCATAACGAAATACCACAGAGAGAATCCGAAACTTCTGATAATTTTACAAGTTTTAGTCAAATCCATTCTATTATGTAGACACTTCAAATTCGAAATTTCGCGGTCTACTAGTTGTCGAAAAATGTATAACTTTGAAGGACGATGTTTTCACATCAAGTTGATACATCTTCCCCCAAGTACACTTCAGAGTGCAGTAGGATTGGAACGGCAAACAAATTCGTAATGATAACTTTGTTCTTTACCTACAGTTGACGTGGCTAGAACTGTTTACGGATGGAAAAATGCACTGTTAGCGTAGTACCTGTATATTACTGGAGTTTTATCCCAACACCAAACTATTAGTTTCAAAACTTCGACACGTGATTCAATAAATAAGTGAACATCTTCAAGAGGAAGATTAAACTAAATTACACACAATATTGTCCTTATTCATACCATAGTTATCTCTGCTAGGTACCTGCGTCTTAATTGTCTTAAATTAATTTTACATGTTGCCTTATCTAACAGCCAGGTAAATCTGATAATGAAATATTATTTAAACAAGCTATATAGTATACTACTAGGTCTAGGTCCACCATCATTATTCATAATATTATTATGTTAATTATGGGTTTTTCTGCAGCTGAAAAAGCAAATGCGCCACTGGAATCAATGAAGTCGCCCCGGAACGCCAATTAATTTTTATTGTTGTTTTTATTTTATTTTTATCGTTGTTTTAATAAAATATTTATTATGTTGTTGACTTGTCTACCTAATCGTAATGAAATAAAGTCTATGGAATGGTTTTGTTGCAAAATATGATGGGCGACCGTCCATATTTTAGGTTTGCTAATTGTTTCTTATATCTTATTTTAATAGATCTTTTAGCCTGTCCATAATATTTTATGTCGCAGTCCTTATTTTATTTCGTAAATTCCAGTGTTTTCCGAATTCTTGACTCGTGCTTTGGATTTCCTAGACAACTCTGTAGTGTATGACTTGTTTTATACCACCTTCATACCTAGTACGTGAAGATGAGTGTAGTACGTATAGAGGAGCTAGATAAGTTTTGAGCCAGTATACGCCCAATGACTGCTTTCATCAAACATTTATGAATATTACTGGGGTTTTATTCCAACACCAAACCGTTATTTTTAACACTTCGACACGTGTTTCGATCTGCAAGTGATCAAGAGGAAGAGTTTAATCTTCCTCTTGAAGATGATCACTTGGTGATCAAAACATGTGTAGGTTTGGTGTTGGAATAAAACATTACTACACCAAAGGTTCCAAACAGTGCATCACAAATTCATTTATGAGAAAGAGCAACCCTGTTGAACGTGACCACCCTCTGTTATCGATTTATATTCTGATATTAAATACAGTAAAGTAAATAGTAAATATTCAATACGATTTTCTTCATCAGTTGGAACGATATTTACTTCACTTGAAGTAGAAGACTTTACAGTAGAAATCATCTCACTGTAAAATGAGACTGATGGTCAATATTATATCAGGCTCAAAAGCTTGTATCTGCCTCAGGATGGGAAATCAGTAGCTCCAATGAATTCACCCGTATTCAATATCAACCAGAGCGTAAGGCACTACTGATGTCTTCTCGGTACCGTAGCAGTACCGAAATATAGTAATACTGTGTTTTGAACAGCTCCTTTCAAGTACACTTCAGAGTACAGTAGGATTGGCACGGCAAACAAGTCCATAATAGCAACTCTGTTCTTTCCCAACAGTTGAGGTGGCCAGATCTGTTGAAGTCTGTGATTATATTTTGCACCGAAGAGAGTTTTTCATGGAGGTTACCTCTTGGGAATAGCGTTGTTTCACCCAGAAATTAGTATATGTCTCTCCGGCATCCAGATGGTGCGGGCTACTTTCGCAGAGGCATAAAGTTAGAAACATTCACATAGAATGCATAGGTGAAGTCATGCTGAAATATATAGGGGTTTCATCTGACATCACGTTTGATTCTATTGGATATTGAGAGCTGTGTTTTTGATACTTAGCGCAGCCAAAAATTATGTGGGTTTGCCTGGCATATTACACAGATTATAAAAATTTGATTTTATGATGACTTCGAGAAGATGGTAAGGTAGGTCGGGTTTATATTCCAGTTTATTGAAATAGCATAACATAAAAATATTTGACTATTCATAAATGACCATGGAAGTCAACCGTTTACTTAGCGATGAATTGTCCTATGAACTATATGTAAGGGGTATGCCTTTTGGAAATACTGTTGCTGAGAAAAGGTCGACTCTTTGTGATGCGTTGAAGAGAGAGAAAAAAAGTGGGACGGTTAGCTTTCCTAAAGTATTTTTGGACCCAAATGTTGAAATATCCACGTGTGAAAAAAAACTCAACGATTTGGAACAGGATATTCTGGGATGGGATCAGGCCAATGGAGAAAATGAATTTCACAGAATTCATAGTCGGTTACAACACCTCTTACTTCGTCTTGATCGGTTCTCGGGAAAGGAAGTAGAAGAAGAGATCACGCGGCTGAGACTTGTGTCCAAATGCTCTCGGTTGATTGGAGAGGTGAATTTGGCTCGGCAAAGGTCTTTTGTACATTCTCATTGTAGTGGACAGGTAGCAGTGGTTCATGAAGAGTCAGCAAGTGTGGGGGCATCTCTTCTGGATATTCCTAATCCAACCTTGGTACATTCTCCCATTGAACAGCGTGAGAACACACCGGTAGTGAATGACCTGATATCATTCGAAGATATTCCAGCTCATCGTCAACAAGATTTATTACCGGAAGAACCGATTGTCACGAGACAACCAGCCTCGCAGGAGGAATATTACAATCTATTTCCAGGTTTTAGCTCCCAAGGTCGTCTGGAACCAGTTTATCCGCAAACTCAGTCATGGTCGAATATCTCTCGAATCGCACATCGTGGATACAGTCAGCAACCTATCCCAGAGGAATCGATTGAGGATATTACTGCTGCTCCAAGAAATTGGAAAGGCCAGGAGGATTCGTATCCAGCAGAAGGAAGCGGCTTCCAATGGCGCGATATTTCACGATGGAGTATACGATACAATGGCAGGACCAGCGTGAACGACTTTCTCGAACGGGTAGAGGAGCTGCGTGTGTCACGAGGGGTGTCGAAGACGCAACTTCTACACGCTGCACCGGAGATATTCGTACAAGATGCTCTCCTGTGGTATCGGACGGGAATATTTACATCGTGGGATGACCTGACGGAACAGCTTAGACAAGCATTTAGGCCTTACGATTATGAATATAGCCTTTGGGATGAGATAAGACGGCGTACGCAGGGTTCCCAGGAAAAAGTTCTGAACTTCATTATAGCGATGGAGAACTTGTTTCGCAAATTAGACCACCCACCCGATGAACAAGCTAGAGTAAGTCTCATCAGAAGGAATTTACTGCCATACCTGCAAACCCAGCTTGCCCTTCAACAGATGTCTACTATCTCTGACCTGACTCGTCTCTGTCGTATGATCGAAGAAACGGAAATGCGAACACAAAAATTTGTACCACCACCAACCAGTTACCGGAATCTTCTAGAACCCGAGTTAGCCTATAAAAAACCCCAGAACCAATTGAATGTAGCTGCAGTGAACATCCGAAGAGAGGACCGGAACGAGACCTCAGAAACGCCCCCAACAAGCACAAAAGTCTGTTCCTCAGCAATATGTTGGAATTGCGGGAGCACCGAACATAAATTCAGGTCTTGTTCACAGCCAAGAAAAAAATTCTGTTTTAGATGTGGAAAGGATAATGTTTTCGCCAGTTCTTGCCCACATTGTATAAAAAACGGGAGACGGGGTCAACAGTAGGCCGACTGTTGCCGATAAAATCCCCTAAGGCCGAACACTCAAAAATACTCTTGGACTACGTACTTGCGCACGCTAAAGATGACACCAGACCCTACCTGAAGGTTTCAATTTTCGGAGGTTCTTTTCTTGGGTTATTGGACAGCGGCTGCACTGGCACAATAATAGGGGGTCCCGGTTGGAACATCCTGAAGTCTATTTGCGCATTGAAGAAATCAACCCAATCAATGTGTACTGTTGCAAATGGACAGTCGTGCTCAATATTAGGAACTGTTTCCGTTCCGTTCAAGTTATATGATCGGGTCAAGGTTCTGGATGTACTTGTGGTACCATCGTTACCCCATACACTGATACTAGGGATGGATTTCTGGAGGGCTATGGAGATTGTCCCCGATATGTTTTCGGGTGAATGGTGTTTCAGGAATGATCAACATGTGCTACAACCTTCCACTATGGCACTAGCCTCAATCGATTCCCTCACTATGGAACAGCTACAGACTTTGAATGGAGTTATTGAAGAGACTTTTCAGAAGATGGGGGATAGATTAGGGTGCACGAATCTGGTCGAACATGTTATTCGCACGGATCATCCACCTATCCGCCAGCGATATTACCCTCTCTCACATGCCCTGCATCAACAAGTTGATCAGGAGCTTGAAAAGATGCTTCGGGACGGAGTAATTGAGCCTTCCCAATCACCATGGGCGTCTCCTATATTACTCATCAAGAAGAACGATGGGAGCTATAGGTTTGTAGTCGATTTCAGGGAGCTCAATAAGGTCACCATTCGCGACGCGTACCCACTCCCAATGGTGAGTGCTACATTAGACAAATTGCGAAATTCTCATTACCTCACCACCCTGGACATAAAATCGGCTTATTGGCAAATACCTCTGTCTGAGCAGTCAAAGCCTCTGACAGCGTTTGTGGTGCCCAACCGAGGATTGTATCAATTTCGCAGGATGCCAATGGGCCTCCATAATGCCCCAGCCACGTGGCAACGGTTCATGGACCGTGTAGTCGGGATAGATCTCGAACAATATGTCTTTGTCTATCTGGATGATGTTATCATCTGTAGCCCTACTTTTGCGCAACACCTCGTGTTGCGAGAAGTACTAACCCGGCTCACGAGGGCCGGTCTCACACTTAATCGAGAAAAGTGCCACTTTTGCAAATCGGAATTACGTTATCTTGGCTACGTAGTTGGAGCAGGGGGACTCATGGTTGATCCGTCTAAGGTAGAAGCTATTTTACAAATCACAGCACCCAAGTCCGTGAGCGACGTGAGGAGACTGATTGGTCTTGCATCATGGTACCGACGATTCGTACCAAATTTCTCGTCACTCACAGCACCTTTGTGCAATTTATTGAGGAAGGGCCAGAAATTTGTGTGGGACTTAAGTTGTGAGGAAGCCCTAGCATCTCTCAAGAACCATCTGATTTCTGCACCTATCTTAACCTGCCCGGATTTCGCAAAACCTTTCACGGTGCAGACAGACGCTTCAGATTTTGGACTCGGAGCTGTTCTCACCCAGCAGGATGATGATGGCGAGAAGGTGATCAGTTACCTTAGCCGTTCACTGTCGAAGGCTGAAAGAAAGTATAGCACCACAGAAAAGGAATGCTTAGCTGTGTTGTTTGCCATCGAAAAATTCAGACCATATATTGAAGGTACAAAATTTGCAGTAGTTACCGATCCTTACAGTCTTAAGTGGCTGAACCAGATCAAAGATCCCGTCGGCAGAATCGCTAGGTGGGCGGTCAGACTCCAACAATACGATTTCGAAATAATTCACCGGAAGGGAAAGGAGCACGTGGTTCCGGATGCTCTGTCCAGGTCGGTACCTTGTGTGGACGCAATGGAGTCTGATGGAACACTTAAGAATTCAAAAGACACTTGGTACAAGAATATGTGTACTCAGGTGACAAACAACCCAGAATAATTTCCTCAGTGGCGTTTTGAGAACAATATCCTTTTCAAACACGTGAATCGAGTCTACCCAGAATTACGAGAAAACTCCGATAACTGGCTTGTCGTAGTCCTGAGGGAAGACAGAGCGGCACTCATACAAGAACATCATAATCCTCCCACTTGTGGTCACCTCGGTGTGTATAAAACTACATCTCGCATAGGAGGCAAATATTATTGGCCAAAAATGCGACATGATATTGCCCGGTATATTAAACGCTGCGTCACTTGCCTCAGCACCAAGCCTGAACAAAAACCTCCAAACGGTTTGATGCTAAGTGCTGCGCCAACTACCAGCAGACCATGGCAAGTCTTGAGCATGGACCTTGTAGGCCCTCTGCCCAGATCGGCTTCGGGTTACAGCTATATATTATCTGTGTTGGACATCTTTAGCAAATTCATTTTGTTGTTCCCGCTGCGAAAGGCTACCACTTCCCGAATCTCGACAATATTCGAGGAAAATGTAGTGCTTTTATTTGGGGCTCCGCAACGAGTCATCATGGATAATGGCGTACAGTTCCGAAGTCGGGAACTGACCAAGGTATTTGACAAGTATGATGTTTCGCCAGTTCACATCTCCAACTACCATGCTCAAGCCAATCCGGTAGAAAGGTCCCATAGAGTTATCAAGACCGTTCTCACGTCATACGTCTCCTCGAATCATCGATGTTGGGACCGCTATCTTCAGCAGGTTGCTTGGGCTCTTCGCACGTCTAGACATGAGGTGACTCAACATACACCAAATTTTATTATGTTTGGTAGGGAACTACAACTGAGCGGAACAAATATCCATCCGTTGGCTCCTATCCTCGATCAAAACGCATTCGATCCGTCAATACGTTCCAAGGTTTTGGATGATTTATTCAGAGACATATCAGCTAAGCTAAAACGAGCATATGATAATAGTCGTCATCGATATAATTTGAGGCGTCGTGATGAACGATTTCAACTGCATCAAAAGGTTTGGAAGCGAAGTTATGCATTATCTAAGGCGGCACAGGGGTTTACCTCTAAGTTCGCCCCAAGGTTTGAAGGTCCATTCACCATTTCAAGGATCTTATCACCCTGGTCGTAAACGATTCAGATGATGAGGTGGAAGGTTGAGACATATATATTCAGATATAAAGTGATCCTGTTATGTATAACATTGGTTCGGTTGGCCCAGACTTTTTTTTTGAAGAAAGGGGGGGTTGTTACGGTTCCCAAAATGCAAGAGCGGATTTATAAGATAACAGAAAAGTAATGTATTGAAATCATATATTTATGCACAGCATCCACCCTGTATAACATTCAAAACAATTCAGTTCAGTTTTTTGTGCCTAAAGACAATCAGAATAATTCGACCTTGAATAACGTTGATAGGGAAAAAAAGGAAAGGAAAAAGAAAAGGGTTTTTTCTCTGGTAATGAGAGTTGAGTTTGGTTATCTTCTCTGGAGCAAGAATTTTGAGCTCATCACTTTGTGGATTTGAAGAAACCAAAATATTCAATACGGGAATAACTATATTTGGGTTATCTAAAGGAATAACTCGCCCACAGTATTGGGGATTTTTATTAAGTACCCGTTCTCTTGTCAAATTCCAATCTTCAGGCCACACAACAACTACGGTAAGAACCCACTTCCCGAAAATACCCTAAAGGGTATATCCTTCTAAACATTAATCTCATTTTAGGCCTTTTTATTACCACCTCAAGTCGATATTGTGAACTATATCCTGGTATATCTCTCGCAAGGCTAGACCACTACACCCCTTATATCTCTGATTACGGTCTTCCGAGGAGCAAGTTATCTGCATGGAAAAGATCATTGCCTGAGTGGACTGCGTACAGGGGTTGGATCGTGCTGCTGGAGACTATTCTCCCATATCCCATGCATGTAAGGTCTTCCTGTTATGTATTACACCCTCCCGCACGACCTCGAATCAACATTGCGGCACAAATTGCAATTCTAGAAGGAACCAAGTATTTACCACACCTTAAGTTTAATCATAAGTTGCTTACATTTATATCTGTGAACCCAAAAGTATACTTCTGGGCCATAAGCCTGTAATCACCACAAGCTTGGTGTGTTTGAAGAAACAATACACTTATCCTCCAAGTGGACTTATATTTACCCACCATCCCTCTCCGCTGAGTTCCGGCAGCCCATAATTTAGTTCCTAAGTAACAAAGTAACCCGTTTCAATCTACGACAACGAAGGTTACAGCCATTAAAGTTTTTTAAATATCTTTACTTCAAATTTACTGATAATATAAAGTAGTTAGTTGAACATCCATTAATTATATATAAATCTTTCCTCAGCTGAACTGCAGCCAAATACATCTATACTAGTAATCATGGGTTAATCATCTATATCCATAGCATTTGATGTTTGAGGGGTAGAATAGTGACCCCAAGGGAGCGTAGGGCAATCTTGTATTGGGCAATGGAATGTACTTGATGTTTATCAGATCGAATCAAATTTTGGATGACACTCATATTCTTCCAATTTACTAAGAAATTCACATAATCATCGGAAGTAATTTTATTCTTCACTCCCTTTGTCTTCTTGGTAACCCCCAAGCATGAGATCATTTGAATAATTTCTTCCTCATCATAGCCATCATTTACTAACTGCTAACGCTTCTTATTGATACTATTCTCCGTCACCAATATCCTAGTTGTATACAATTTTGATCTAAGGCCCACGTAATCAGTCATCGGAATTGCGTTATTCTCATCTTTCATCATCCCGAGAACCTTTTCATTTACCAAAGGAATGTTAAACTGATTAGTGTACGGGTAATCCGAGGTATCAAAAAATTCTTGACAATCTTGACGTATGATTTCATAAGGATCCTGATTGCATATTTCATAAATCAGGCTATCTGTATCGTTGTAGAGAATTACACAATTATCTCCGAATCGATGACGCATATAGTCATAATGAAAATCGTATATGGTAGTCTTTGCCAAGTCTAAGATAGCTTGTCCTACTTGTATCAGTTTATTTAGATAAACTCGCAGTTTCCTCAGTTAAACTGCCACCAAATTCTCATTGAATATCATGCAATTTTTGAACTGTAGCTTTGAAATATAGGCCTCGGCTCCGTAGCGACCAGCCCATTTGGTGAGAAGATTAATGTTAACTCTTTTTCTAATGTCTTCCATCGTTTTCCCGAATACTGCATTGTTCATTAGCTTGAAGAGATTTTTTTCAAACTCATTCGTTGCCCTTTTTCGCGACTCAGTATTCAAAACAATATAGGACTTCAACCATGGTGATTGATTGAATTGAAGTATTCGATGAATTTTCGTGACGACAAGACCATTAGCAATGGCCTGTTTGAGGACGCGATAATGAATCACATATTTTGCTTTGGGTTGGAGTGTAGCCTACAATTTGGTGAGCTCTTTTATCGATTTGGGAGTATTTTTTGTTTTTGGATTTATATGTTCAGGGCAGTATGGCAAGTCTTTATGTGAATCATGTAGATGTTTAGGATACTCCAGATAAACTTCAAGCATATATTCCACATCGCTCTCATCGGATATTGATGAAACGTCAATATTGGTATCGCACCACTCATACCCATTATATGGTGAATACTGAGACATCACCCACCCATTCTGGTTGTTTACATCGAAATACATGAGGTATGTGTCAGGAATTTGAAGGGGCAATATTTATTGTTTACATGAGCTCTTCTCTTCGAACAAACTTAGCTGAGTCCATCTCGAATTCCTCGTTCAACAAATAGAAGCATGTCAGGATCTGTCAGTAGTTCCGATTTATCTTTATATATATGAGCATCGCATCCCATGTAAGGCCTGGTAGCGTATAGTAATGGGCAGGGTCCAAATTATGAGTCCTGAGGCAGCTAGCACGAAATTGTTCGAATAAGTCAGCGAGGAGGAGGATGTCTGTCCCAAAGTCTGACAATTGAAACTCTTCCACAGTAGATGAACAACGTATGTTCTGGCTCACCGGGAGTGGGGGTAACCTATCAGCGTCATCGAAATCGACGCAGGATGGAACGAGTATAGTAGCGATTTGAGCGTGGAACTCCGCCCCTCGGCCCCCTTGGTACTCCACCTAACCTATCGGCCCCCTTGGTACTCGACCTAACCTATCAGCTCCCTCGGCCCGCTTCAGTCACGTGATTTTAAATAAAAAAAGTTTATAAAGTAAGTACACAATTCATAATTTTTTATGTTTGTTCATGATTAATTCATTATATTTTATGTTATGTGATTGTTACTTGATATCGACTCAAGAACAAATGTATGGATATTATTGGGTACATTGTATGTACAAAATATGGAACTTACTTCAAAGTCCAAAATGTATCCTTCACATGGGGTTGCTTTTATCCTGGAGTGGATTCCACTCATTGTCGGGGGTAAAAATGTTTCTTTTCAAATTGAGTGAAAAGTTTGATTCCAACACTGATATTAATTTCGAGAACTATAATCATAAATATGAAAATCGGGTTAGGAATCGTGTTAGAAATCACACGTCAAAAGGTAAGACCTCGTTAGTCCTTAGCTCGAACAAGTTTCTCAACTTCTGAGAGTTGTCGTTCGTATGGAGGCGATAGCTGATTAACGTAAAAACAGATTTTAAAAACAGACATATTTTTTTAAACATGCATCCATTGATGTAAGCAGTTTTCGATTTTAATTTGACGGAATTATTCCGTGGCGTGATTTACAACCGAAAGGTTCTCTAAAAGAAATACCTTTATGAAAATTTACAGATTGTAACTTTGTTTACAACCTGTGAAATGGTTATTTCGAAGAATTGTTGAATTTATTTCGAAAATATTGAACGGAAGTCATTTTTTTGGGAAGGAATTTTTTCATATTATAGAAGATGAAAATCCCCAGAGAAGTAGTAATCAGTAAATCCAATAATATGCTATTTGGTATTGGTCCGTCATCGTTATTCATAATATTATTATGTTTACTTATTTCTATACTCTCATAGGCATC